TACCTAAAAAATGTGCTTGACTTATGAAGTTTCATAACCAGTTCTAGAAGGGTTTACTGATGCTGACATGGTAGGCGATCTTGATGGTAAAAAATCTACTTCAGGGTATTTGTTCACTTTTGCAAGAGGAGCTATATCTTGACAATCTAAGTTACAGAAGTGTGTTGCTTTGTCAATTACAGAGACTGAGTATATTGCAGCAATCGAAGCATGTAAAGAAATACTTTGGATGAAACGTTTTCTTCTTCAACTGGGGTTGAATTAGAAAGAGTATGTGGTATTTTGTGATAGTCAAAGTGCTTTAGATTTGAGTAAGAATACCATGTACCATGCTAGAACAAAGCACATTGATGTTAGATATCATTGGTTACGTTCAGTGATTAAAGAACAACAGATGCTATTGAAGAAAGTTCATACTGATAAGAATGTGGCAGATAGGTTGACTAAGATATTTCTTAGGGAAAAGGTTGAGCTTTGTAGTAACTTGGCCAGAATGAGTTTCCTGGCCAAGGTAAGTTTCAAATGAAACTGCTATGGTGATGAATCTCTTCCTAATGGGGCTGGAAGGAAAAATTGTTAGAAAAATGAGGTCCAGCCTCATTTAAGTGGTTTTGGACCAAGTAAAGGCCATGAGCCTTGATCTTTCATTTTACACAGAGCCCTAGCTACTTAATAAAAAAGAGGTGGGATTGTTTTAAGGGTGTGTCAAAAACCAAGTAGAGAAAGAAAAAAAGCCATAAAAAGCAGAGAGAAAAAGAAAAAAAAAGTTGGTTGAACAAAAGTCGATCCGTAGTCTGATTGAGTTGAAACCTTGTCAAGAGGTTTATGATTCAAAGTTTTACATTCTGAACGGTGAAGATCGGATTTGAAGCTCTCTAGGAACAAATTCAAGGTATATTTGTTGAGTCACTTATTTGGTGAGATTTCTCCAATTATTTTTTCTAGTTGTTGTTTAGCTCTAGTTTTAGCTAGGAAAGAACTTTGTATACCTATTATTTGATAGTGAAGATTTTTCTGATGGTCCGTGATTTTTTTCCTCTACACTAGAGGGTTTTTCACGTAAATCTTGATGTGCTTTATCTTTACTGTGTTTTTTATTATTGATTGTTATCTATTACTTCTGTATTGTTGTGATTATTGCTTCAGGCGCAATAAATATAAAAATTATAATATCAAAATTTATGCCTACACGTTTAAACATAAAAGTAAAACACATTTTCTAATGTTTTTATCAAAACTTTAATTTAAAAATATAAAATTTAAAAAATGCATGTGTGCATGAAATATATGTATGTAGTATTGTTCAAAATCATATATATTATAAACTATAAAGTTACTGGATAAAATGCATTATACATGAGAAAATCTTTAATACTTTGTAGTTTACCATATCCCAATAGATAATTAAATGTTTAAATAACAAAAGACTAACATTATTAAAGTTACCATATTCAAAATATAGAAGACTTTGTCTTTCTAAACTATTATTAGATATAAACCAAAACTATTTAATTTGAAAGTATGAATGGGTTTAACTACTAAAGTTCCAATTATCTTTCTTATATAACTTTCTCTTATACTATTTAAAATTTTGTATAAAATCTACAATGTAAATTAAAGAACTTTTTCACTTATACTAGAAATAGCCGCTCGTTATATTGGGTGAACTATCTTTCTGTCAAAAGTTTTTATTGTTATTTATCAAGTTTTTATTATTCATAATATATTTATAATTATTTTAATATAAAATAATAAATTACAAAATAAATAAAAAATTATAAAAATACTAAAAGTAATATATATAGCATTTCATATATTGTGATTATAGTTTTTATTAATTTTTTATACTATATTTTGAACATTGTTTTTTTTATTAATTATTTGATCCAATGTGTGATTTTTAATTTATTTTAGTTTATAAAAATTTTTTATAAAAAATATTTAAAACAAAATAAAAATAATTTAATTTCTGGTTATGTCTTTATATATTTATATTTATCACATTATGTTTTTTAATTTTTATTCTATTATAGTAATTAATATGTAGTTAAGTTTTATGTAATTAATTTAATATGTAATTTAATAAGGGTATTATAATAATTTTGATAAATATCACATATCAAATTATTATGAAACCATTGTAAAAGTATTTTAATAATTTAATATGTTGTTAATTTTATATTGTTATGAAGTAATTGTAAAAGTATTTTAATAATTTAATATGTAATTAATTTCATATTATGTTAAAATTAAAATTGTAATTTAATAAGGTATTATAGTAAATTTTAAATATCAGGCCACATGTCAAATTTTTATGAAATGGTGACAAAGATATTTTAATAATTTAATTTGTGATTAATTTTATATTATGTTAAAATTTAATACATAATTTAATAGATATATTATAATAAATGCTATATGTCAATTTTTTATAAAACACAAATATGAGCATTTTTTGTAATTATGATACGAGGATCGTAATAATAATATTTTGTTAATTATGGTAGGAAAGACTTTATAATAAATTTTTTATCAATTATGATAGGAGGAGTATTTTTGTAATTATGGTTAAATGAGTATTATAATAATTTTGATGAACTATAATCAAATAGGTGTTTTGTAATTATGAAAGACATTAAAATAATTTTCATCAATTATAATAAAGGATTATTTCTGTAATTATAATTAAATGATATTTTAATAATTATGTCTAATTATGAGAAAGGCACTTCTACAATTATGGTAAAACAATATTGTAATAAATTTGAATATGTGTCAACATTATATCAAATAAACAGAAAAGTATTATAATGATTTCTTAAAGAATTGTTTTAATATATGTTATTGATTATTGATTATGTATCCTTTGGTTTGGTTAAATAGTTAAAAAAAATTTTAACTTTATCATTTTATTTAAATAAGTTTTTATATTTTTATTAAATCTAAATAAATCTTTGAATTTTAATTTGCTTTCAAATAAATCCTTAAACTTTAATTTGTATCTAAATAAACTTTAATTCTTTAATTTATACTAATATAAGACCTTAGCATAAATTAGTATTTTGGTTGAGATAAAAGCATATTTAAATACAAATTAAAAATAAAGATTTATTTGGATATAATAAAAAAAATAAATAATTATTTAAATAAAATAATAAATTTAAATTTTTTTAAAAATATTTTAACCTTTTAAATTACTTAAATAAAATAATAAAAATTAAAATTTTTAAAAAATATTTTAACCTTTAAATTACTTCTAATCCATTTTATTCATTCATACATCATATCGAAAAATTATGAGATTTTTATGTTTTAATATTTTTTTCCCTCGCCATACGAGACATACTTAGAAACATGAATCTAAGTACTAAAAAAAAAAAAGAATAAGAAAGACAAAAAAATTTGCTAATGTGATATTTAGACATTTAATATGTTCTATGTACAATTATGAATATATAGTGTCTCAATTCAAAAAAACAAAAGAAACGATTATAGTTATTTCCATGGGCCTACTCATTTAATTTGTGTGGACAACTCTAACTTGACTAATCCAAACGTAAATTATTGCGCGATTTAATGGATGGCTGCCAACGCCTCCCAAGTCCTTCACATTAATTATGCCCTTTGATAGGGCAACGACTTCTGCTTTCTATTTATAACCTTTTATATACACAAGGCTGTGAGCCTTCCACGTGGACAAACTTTTTGAATGGCAAATAAAATTGTATGGATTTCTATTTTGATTTTCTTTTCTTTCAAAAGTGAAAATAAAAGGTTTGTTTTATTTATAATTTTTTTAAAAAAATTTTATCGTTCATAAAAAAACACACAAACAAAGAAAAAAATTATTTTTATATTATTTTTGTTTCCTAACCTTTATCCTTTTATTTTTTGTTTATAATAAAATGAACAACAAAAACAAATTTCAATTTTTATAATCCCTTCCTTCATCCTTAAATTACAATATTTTTACTCACATAAATATTTAAAAAGATACTAAAAATTTGATTTTAAATCAAATCTTTATTTCTTTCTTTATTTATACTTAAAATTTAACAAAAAAAATATATATATATATATATATAATAAAAATGCCGTGCCGTAGTAGAATTATTCTCTATCTTACCTTTTACTTTTCTTCCATGCATTTGGGGTTTCTAACAAAAATTTCGGGCTGCTGAAAAAGACTATCGATTTGGATTATCCAGCGTGAGACATTTTTCTATAAAAAGACTGTATAATATTTGACACATTTTTCAATAAAAATGGTAATGAATGGTTTCAACTAATCGGATGAATTAACAAGCTGCTTGGCTTGCTAACAATTAATAAATAAATCGCTTTTTATGACTTTTTTTTTTTTTTGGTGATCAATCAATTTTAAAAATTCACGCTTTAATCTTCAACGCTTACAAATATTAATATCTTAATTACTCAATTATTAAAAATTGACTACAATTCCATGTGCTTTTCAAATAAATAATCTCAAAATGCTGTAACTTAATTATGAGTGATAAAAATAAGTAATTTATTTTTGTTTAGAGTTAGTTTAATATTATTGTTATGATTGCAAAATATTTAAATTAAAAATTTTAACATATAGACCAATTTCACAAACACACAGACGAAGAAACAAAGAAATATAAAGGGTTCACTGAGCTCCTTTAAAAGAAAATTTTCTATAAAATTGGAGTTTCAATCCTCATCTTTTGCAAGTTTTTTTTTTTAATTTTATTGATTATGACTGCTCCTGTATTAAAGAAAATTTCCAACTAGCTAGGGCCTAGGGATCATCTTTATTCGGCTTTTATGCCAAATCTCATCCACAAATGTATATTTCAATATTTGTATGAACGAAAAATAATGTCCACACACTGGGTCAGTGGCATCAATTATTGTGTAATTTCTAAATGACGACAACATCATTAGGAAAATATCTTTTTTGTTGATATTAGGACGTTGCTCTAAGCTTCTCCTTAATTAGAATGTGGAAAAGTAGGTGTATACTACAATCCGCCAATAACCCACGGGAGGCACGATCCGCTAATCACCAACGAGGGTACATTCAAAGAACATTGTTTTTGTCGTGCTAACAGGTTGAATTTTTAATATCTGACAAGAACGTGTCATTTATGTGATTGGCCAAAAGTCGTCGTTTTGTATTACTCTTTCGTTCGTGAATCTTTGACGTCGACTGCTTACGTTGCTGTCTTCTAAATACAAATACATTATGGTACAAAGTTTTCATAGCAAAAATTTTCGTACAGGTGATGAAGGATCCCAATATAAATATTTGTCATTTGCCTCTTAACACGAAGCTACCTGAAATAATTAAGTCAAGAACGTCAGTCAGTACTTCTGTTTTGCACCCAGTTTTTTTCCCACCATGGCAGCTCTGTTTCAAAATTCAGAGTCTCTGCAGGGTAAACCTGCCGAAATCCAGACTGCTTTGGAAGTAGAAAACCTTAATCCAATGCCAGAGACGAAGACAGGAGGAAGTAACAGGTTTATGGGGGATGGTGTTTTCTTGACATGGGAGGATTTGTGGGTCACAGTTCCAGGTGGAAAAAGTGGGAGCAGATCAATCCTCCAGGGCCTGACGGGCTATGCTCGTCCTGGAGAGCTCTTGGCGATAATGGGTCCTTCCGGTTGTGGCAAGTCGACACTTCTTGATACCTTAGCAGGTAATAAAGCACGCATTCCATACCAGGAGCAGGCTGTTCTATGTTCTTACTGTTTTTCATTCAGCTCTAAACGTTTGAATTTTGTTTTTTTTTCTTTTTTTTACCACACAGCCTCAAAATCTTCCTTCTTAAAACCCTTCAAATATCACATTGTCATTCACACGCTACCACTGCCATCGCCATCTAATCGTTGTGATGGACGTAATTATTATTTGGGTATTTACATATTTGGTTTCATATATTGAATTTTTTTCTTCCTTACGTTAAAGATGACCATTGTGGTTGAAATAATCCACTTTTATCCTCACCTATTTCTTATATATATAGTTTTGATAATTCATGGACAATTCGCATCGAATATGTACTAAATATATATTTTTATTAAAATTTTAATTTGTATTATTTTTATATTTTTTGTATAATTTTTATATTGTGTTTAAAATTTATAGATCTATTTTCATAGTTAAAATTAATTCTCTACACAACCTTAAAATCAGTCTAATGAGAAACAACTGTTGTGTTTTTATTTTTTTTCATTTTTAATATATATATATATATATATACTAAAAAAGAGAACAAGGGAAATTAAAATGTAATATTTCAAATAGATAGGAAAGAGAGAAGATTTTTTTCAGCTAAATAAAATATGAATATACCAAAGGAAAGTCCTCCCCTTTTGTTGCTTATATGCATAAAAAAAGGTTTATAACAAAAAAATTAATATTTTCTACAAATTTATTCGTTAATAAAATGATATGATGTGATTTATTTGATGAATAAAATAATATTATTTAATTTATTAATAATATATAAAATTTATATATTAATAATATATATGAAATATAAATTCTATAAAAAAAATTCTTTTTCTGCTTTCAAACAAAACTTGCTTTCCATTCAAGAACAATGTTTGTAGCTTTCCTAGATTTTTTTCTATATACAGCTGCCTGATGCAATTTAAATTTTTTAAATACAAATTTGCATCAGATTTGATATCTAAAATATAATCAAAATATCCATTCATATATATGTACTATATAAAATATTAATAATTTATATATTTTGTTATATTTTATATAAAAATTATATGTTATAATTTATATTCAAAAAAAATATGAAATAATTTTTTTTACTTTAATTAAATATATATAATTTTTGTTAAAATTTTAATTTATGTCATTTTCATATTTTTTTCATATCATTTTCATGTCATATTATTATATTATATATATTTTAAATTATTAGATCTAAAATACATACATGCATTAGGCAAATTCAAGCATTTCCTTTTCAGATAAATGAAATTTTAACATTTCGACTGTAGCGGAGATGAACTTTTAGGTTTATTAGCAATATTCCGGATTGGACTGTTAAAGTTTTTAAATTCACATAATTATTAATCAAGTAGACATATGCTTAATTAAAATAATTTAATTAACTGTAGCAAATTAGTTAGGTCCATGTGCCATATATCAGTTATTTGCATCAAGCCGCAGAATATCAGTTGTGGTAAAAAAAAAAAAAGCCATATAGCACACTGGACTCACGTAGACCTGGTTTTGTGATAAAGATGTTTAGACTCAACTTATTATTTTTCTTTTCGGAAAATTTTCAATGTTTCATAATTATTTTATATTTTGATTAATTTAGAATCGAGCTTATCAAATTCATAAGGAGGTAACTTTTTTAAATTTATTTTTTTCATTTACAATATTCCAAATCAAGATATTATTTTAAAAAAATCAAAATTTTTATCACTAGACATTAGTGACTTATTTTATTATTTTATTAATTAATAAAAAATATTTTAATTTAAACTTAATTTTATAATATATATTTAAAATATAAAATATTTTTAAAAACGACTTGGAATAGTGTTGAGCCTATTCTGTCCAGTAGGCCCACATCTAAAAAATATTTAAAGAGTTAGGAGTAAAATATATTTGATAACAGTGGGGTAGAATAATTTAATGATATGGCCAAATATTATTTGAATAGTCACTTCATCTAATTTGCACTAATGTTATGAAAATGAAGTTAATATATTTTCATTTCTTCTAAAGTCACAGTTAAACATCATAATCATACATCTCTCCTTAGCTACTCAGCTTTTTAATCAATTATTAATGCATGAGACCTTAATAACTTATACCAACTGTTTTAAGACTTTGAACCTAATCACCAAATCCTCAACTACTTTTTTTTTTTTTTTTGGTTTAAATTCTTATATAAACACTAACTTTTTTTATCTATTGTTTTTTTTTTTTTTTTGACTTTTTTTTTATTATCTATTGTATTTAAGATGAGTGTCTTTGTCCGTGTCACAAAGGTGATTTTATTTGGCAAAGGGTAAAATTTAGATAAAATTATTTAGGTAAAATTCAAAAGAAATTTTATTGAAAATAATTTAATAAAATTTATAATAAAAAATAAATTAATAGATTGAATCAATGATAAGATTAATGATACATAAAAAAATTATTAAAAATGCTATTTGTAATTCAAATTTAATTATTTTTTATTTAATGATAAAAATTATATTAAATTTTTTTAAAAAATAACTATATCAAAACTATATCAACATTTATTAAATATAATAAGACTTTTTAATTTATTAGTCTATATTTTTTATGATACATCAATGACCATAACTTAAAAATAGAGAAGAAGTTACCAAGAATTTAACTTTTATCAAATGCCATTTTTTAAGAATAATTATATAAACTAAATAAATTAAAATTTGAATTCGATTTTAATTTTAATTTAATTATTTTTAATAATTAACTTCACAAATTTCATTTAAGTCTTGCATCCATTAATTAATGAAAATTTTACCCTTACCTCTTTCTATTATTTCATTTAAGTCTTAGTCTCCTCTGGCCCTTAGAATTAAAATATCAACTTGTTGCATGTGCATTCGGTAAGTATACTTGCTAACTAATATGACCAAAATGGATCTCAACTTTAGATCTTATTTATCTCACTCGATTTATATATAAAAAAAAAATTTTGAACAGTTTTATAGGTAAAAGAATAGCAGTAGAAACTTATATTTTTACAATAATTAAAAAAAATACTACTGTTTGATAATATAAAACCTCATTGACAAACATTTCAATGTAAATCATAAAAATAATAATTTGATTAATGTTCATTGCAGGGAGATTGGCTCCGAACGCAAGGCAAGCAGGAGATATTCTTATCAATGGACGTAAACAAGCCTTGGCTTATGGAACATCGGTAAGGGAGAAACTGTTCAAGAATAAGTTTATATTTAATGCATTTTTGGTGTATAGATATATATTGTTAATAAATTATATAATATTATCTTGTTAAAGAGCAAATATAAATTTTTATAAGTCTTTAAAATAAATATACAAAAACGTTTCTTTAACTTCCTCTTATAATTCTGTGAATATATATTGATAATGCAGCAAATACAAATTATTTAAGAAATTATGTAATGCAATGAAAAAAAAAAAAAAACTTCACTTAATTTCAGTGTTACCTTACAGGCTTGTAACAGTAAGTTGTAGCTGATCTATGATCTATTTTTCCTTTGATAGTTGTATAATTAATCTTCAAAAGTTCTTGCTACCATACCATCATACAGGCGTATGTAACCCAAGACGATGCCTTGATTGCTACGTTGACTGTAAGAGAAGCTGTCTATTACTCAGCTCAGCTCCAATTGCCAGACACAATATCCAAGTCAGAGAAGAAGGAGAGAGCAGAAATGACAATCAGAGAAATGGGATTGGAAGACGCTATGAATACTCAGATAGGTGGGTGGGGAGTTAAAGGATTGAGTGGTGGTCAAAAGAGGAGAGTTAGCATTTGCATTGAAATCCTGACACACCCAAAACTTCTCTTCCTGGATGAACCTACTAGTGGGCTTGACAGTGCAGCTTCATATTATGTGATGAGCAGAATTGCTAGCCTGAATAGGAAAGATGGAATTGGAAGAACAATTATTGCATCCATCCATCAACCTAGCAGTGAAGTGTTTCAACTCTTTCACAATCTTTACCTCCTATCTGTGGGCAAAACAGTGTATTTTGGTCCTGTTTCAGCAGCAAATGAAGTATGTTTGTGTTTTTTCCCCCTTTCTTCAGTACTATAAATTTTGTATGTAGAATTGGCAAAAGAAACTAATCTCTCTTATTTTCAAAATAATATACTAGTTTTTTGCTTTAAATGGATTCCCCTGCCCAAGTCTCCAGAACCCGTCTGATCACTTCCTCAAAACCATAAACAAGGATTTTGACAAGGTATGATGTTCTCATAAACTACTTTACAAATACTTCTCAATGTAATTAAATATCCGGTATGATTTGGTACAAAGAGGTTGCAGCCTAGCCTAGAAATAAGGGAAGGTATTACAGGTGCAGGGGTTCGAACCTCAAACTTACTAAATGTTACTTCTTAATAGTGGCTGCATGAACCATTTGAGTTAAGACCTTCTAAATATCTTATATGATCTATTTGAAGATGCTTGTTGCTAATACTAAACATTGCTTTGTTCTGTTTTCACCAGGATATTGAGCTAGGTTTTGCAAATGGAATTCCCACAGAGGAAGTAATTAATATTCTGGTAAAGTCATACAAGTCTTCTGATGTATACCAAGAGGTTCAGAAAGAGATAGCTCAGATTTGTAAACAGGTTAGTTAGAAGCAGCTCGTTTTCCTGTGCAATTCTAGAATACATTTTAGGAAAGCATTAATGGCTCTGGGATTATGGGTGTCAGGATGGTGGAGCATTGGAGAGGAATGAAAGCCATGCTAGCTTCTTCACCCAGTGCCATGTCCTTACTAGAAGATCTTTCATTAACATGTATCGCGATCTAGGCTACTATTGGTTGCGTCTTGTTATCTATATTGCTTTATCCGGAGCCCTTGCCACTGTGTTTAGCCACCTTGGGACGAGCTATGGATCAATTCAGGTTAGTAAAAGAGAAAAATATATATATGCTTCATATTTCACAAAAGGGCTTTTCGAGACCAATTTGATTTCAACATGGCAAATCAAAATGACATGTAAACTAAATCAGTTTTAAAAATTTTGAGTTTTTCAGGCAAGAGGTTCTCTCATTATGTTTGTGGCATCATTTCTGACTTTCATGGCCATTGGTGGATTCCCTTCTTTTGTAGAGGAAATGAAGGTTTGTAATAGTGTCGATCACCTCTATTGATATAGTTGAGTTCTGACAAAGAGAAATGTCCTGAATATTTTGACTAATCAAGTATGTATACATTTATTTTTCTGCCTTCATTCAGGTATTTGAACGCGAAAGACTAAATGGGCACTATGGTGTAACTGCCTTTGTCTTGGGTAACACATTTTCTGGTCTGCCATTTTTGGCACTAGTTGCAATAATTCCAGGAGCAATTGCTTATTTTCTTCCTGGACTTCACAAAGGATATGAACACTTCTTGTTCTTTGTAATCACATTATTTGCTTGCATGATGTTGGTTGAAAGCCTCATGATGATTGTTGCAAGTTTGGTACCCAATTTTCTAATGGGTATCATAGTGGGTGCTGGAATACAAGGTATGATGATTTTGGTTGGAGGATTCTTCCGATTACCGGCAGACCTTCCCAAGCCAATCTTGAAGTATCCCCTATACCACATTGCTTTCCACAAGTATGCTTTCCAGGGATTGTTTAAGAATGAGTTTGAAGGCTTGACATTTCCTAACATTCAAGCTGGAGGGCCACCAACTATTGCAGGGGAAGAACTTCTAAAGCAAACATGGTATGTAGAAATGGCATACTCTAAGTGGGTTGATCTTATCATCTTGTTGGCAATGGTTGTTTTCTATCGGTTTTTGTTCCTGACCATCATCAAGACAACCGAGAAGGTAAAACCTGTGATTGCAAAATTCAAGTCAGTGAATCGCAAGGAAAGAGTGCAGATCATGGCAAATCCATCCGCTACACCTCCTAACGGGTAGAACATGCAGTGCCCTAATCAGTATGTCTAATTATGACTGTAAAATAGAAGTTCCTGTTCAAGGGGCTTAGAGTATTTTCTATCACTAGCTCCTCTAATGACTGTAACTTGTAAGCACTCCCTCCGTCACAAATTCTTTGTGTGGGCAAAAAAATGGGATGGAGGAGTAGATGATTTCATGCAGGTAGATCTGGAAGTAAAATATTGCAGCTAGCAAGAATAAATTATCTAAACCATAAAGCAAGACCAGACTTTATGGCAAATATTAATGACCAATCTCATATTATTAAAATTTTTTTGGTCCACCGTATTTAGGGGAAAGGGGATGGCTTAGATCGAACCCATGCCTTGATATGCTTTGTTATAATGAAAAATTTGATAGTCTTAATAATGTTTGTCTTGAGATGCTTGGTCGACCCAACTATGCGTATCCGACATGTAAGGCATCAGAATCAGAAAAAAACGAACTGAAAAAATGGGGAGATGGGGCTTTGCAAGTTGCAAGAAGCATGAACAACATGAGGACAAATTTTGGGGGAATATGGTCAAATGTTAAAAAAAAAAAAAAAGCCAGAATTTTGCACAGAAATCCTCAAAACAATAAAGCATTTTCTTTTGGATGAATCAAAGACAAAAGAGTTGCCTTGATTTGATTTGCAGGCTTATATCAAACAAATGGGCATCGAATCAATCAGCCAATTGAAGGAGACAATATTCTTTTCTCTTTCTTTTGAAAGGTTAAAAAGAACCCCTTCTGGATATATATTTATAGCAAGGAAATAGTCTCATAGAGCATGTTTTTACTTTTTACCGCTGCTGCATTCCTAACCTGAATAACCTGCAGCTATCTATAACATATCTAAATTCAAGGCAAATTATGCTTACATTATTGCTCGACTGACCATTGCTCTGTTGCATACAAGATTTACAGCCACAAACTCCGACCAATTTCAATGAATTTATAATACTAACAAGGTTAGTCTAGTTAGTAAGTGAAAGATTTTTTATTGATTGGAATTTGATTTTTTTTTATGAGCCAAAAATAAAATTTGAAGCACATCATATTGATGTGAGAGAATTTATTTTAAAAATAATCGATTTAGTTCAAATAATATATTAAAAATATTTTTAATATATATTACTAATAATTAAAAAATTCCTAAAATTTAGAAAAATTAATTTTGTCATTTTTATATATTTTTCGCTTTTATAGTGGAGTATTCTTCTCTCGAAATTGCAATTTACCTCATCTTGATCAATAACACATAATGGATACTTAAAATCTTTTTATTACTAATAAATAAATAATTAAAATAAAAAACCTAGTAGTCTGACGTGGCACGAATAAAAAACTGACATTGGAAGAAAGTATATTTAGCTACAACAGGAACGGGCAGCTTTCGATCCTTAAAATTTATTTTTATTTTTTCTTCAAAAGGAAAAAAAAAAAAAAACAAAGAAATCAATTCAATTGAGAGAGAGGGAGAGGATGGAAGGAGAAGATATAGACATGGCAGCTGCGGAATCCACTGAAGCTGTAATTTTACTATTTTATTTTATTGTTTTTACACTTTTATTAGTGTTAGGGCTTTTCCTATTTGGAGGAAACCCTAATTTTGGAGAAATTTGCAGGACCTCGATGACATGAAAAGAAGGCTAAAAGAGATGGAGGAAGAAGCCGCTGCTCTTCGTGAGATGCAAGCCAAGGTCGAGAAGGAGATGGGTTCCGTACAAGGTTATTCCTTTTCGTTCTATTTTCTTGGTTCAATTTGCCCATTTTATTTTTCCTTGTTGTATGATTAGGAGAGTTTTTCTTTTAATTTATTCTTTGTTGTTATTAGGTTGAATAAAATTGATTTGATTGACGCACATTGGTTTTTCACTTGTTGATTCTTATCAATGGGCTTTAATTTTAGTTGCATGCTCATCTTTTGTGGTTGGATGTAAGCGAAACCACAAGTATTAAGAGCCATTATCAATGTTTGTTTCTATGCAACTAGATCCTGCTGCTGCAGCTACATCTCAGGCAAATCGAGAGGAAGTAGATTCCCGATCAGTGTTTGTTGGCAATGTGAGGTCTCTTTCCCTTGCTTATTTTATTTCTCACCTTTGCATGGGTCTCCAAAAACAGTTTTAATGTTACTCTAATGATGCAAATGCATATATTCACCTACATTATTGAGAAATATCAATCAATATTGAGCCTTAAGCTACATGGATAGGTAAATGACATGTTAATTTCTGAATCTACAACCACAAGAACAACAAAGTAAACCTTTTCCCCTGCAGATGAGAATGGTTAAATTGTGGCAATTAGGTTGAACTTGTCCTATCAACTATCCAAAATGATTTAAAAAAAAATAATTTCATCTATACATTGCTTGCAAGTTCATATTCTAACCAATTAGGCCAGGATACAGCAGTGCTGTTATTCGGACCAATCTTTATAGCTGAAACTAAAATCTGGTTACAATTCAAATTGAGTCAACTAGTGGTCCAGCTTTATCAGTGCATCTGGTGGATACACTGGATTAAAAGCCAATAACCGGCGGCGTCTTATTGCCTCGCCTTGGGGCTCCTGTTTAGGTGACATTACTACAGGAGGTGCATCGCATGCATGAAGAAACCAACCGTGAAGTGCTGTATCTTTATGACATGTTTGTCTAGGAGTGGGGAATGACAAAAAATATAAATTATAACTTTAATTAGACAGTCATTTGGAAAATTACAATAACTATTGAATGCTGAGATTGTTCATTGTTTAAAGTTGACTGAAATGACAACTTTTCATTATTAACTCAGGTTCTGGTTTCAGTTGTGATTATGATGTCTATTGTGGAAAGAAAATGCAGATGAAGAAGGATTACAAATTGAGGAAAACAAATGTTAAGAGTGTTGTCCTTTCTATAACATATAAGCTGTCATAAAAATTATTCTCATGAAAAGTTGGTATTTGGATTGCTATCTTGTTTTCTTCTCCTTGTTGTGGAGAATGTAATGGAATTTTCTTCTTTTCCTGTGCTTGTCCTAATGAGCTTGGCCCTAGTTTGGTCATGTAGGGTTGACATGTCCGTAATATGGCACTGACCCTGGTTTGCTATTTAGTGAACTGGGTTTATAGCCTTTCATGTGCTGTCCTCCTTACATTTATCAAGTTAATACACTTTGAGGTTTGGGTTTAGCAACTATCATAGGAGTGAGCAGTGTCTTTGAAATCTGAAATTCAAGGATTTTGGTAACAACACTGCTAACTAGGCAGGTCAGGATATGGTAACGTGACTACTTTCTCTTATGGCTTATTTAACTCATAATAGATGGAACAACAGATTTAATTCGATAGATGTGCATGGTTATTTTAGCTTAGTGTACCACTCTTTTTTCTTTTCATCTCTCTTGTGTGGGAATGCTGCAACTTGCTATCTTGTTTCTCCAAGTGAGCATTTCTTATTATGTATCAAATGTAAAGTTTGAGCATTAACATGGTGAAGGATTTCTCAGTTTAGAATCCTTTGTTGACTATATCTTTTACTATAATCGCAGGTGAAGCTTCGTTCTTCAAGTTCTGATTTAATAATTCTGGGGTTGGGTGAAAATAGCTAATAGTTCGGCTAGAAAAACCCACAAAGCATACTATATTTATGTGATTGAAGAGAGATGATAAAAACAAGAGTGTTAAACTTTTGAGTCAAAATTTGAAGGAAAGAAAACTTGAATCCTTTCGGTACACAGAAAATCTGAAGGCAGAAAAGAAAAAAAGTTAAAAAAAAAAAAAGTGAGTAAAAGCTAGGATATTCCAAAAATATTTAAATCGACATTACCTGAAATAGTAGGAAAAAGAGAAAAAAAAAAGTATTAGCATTGTAAAAATCTCGTCTTGGTTTAACTTGAGCACTTGGCCGGTATGGATGGAGAAACAAAATTTGATTCAATCAGTTGAAAGCATGTGCTTGCAGAGTAAAGACTAGCAGTTGGTATTTGCTGTTTTATTTGCAAATCAGAGTGCTGCTTTTGCCGGTGGTCAATGCTCGAGGGATTTCTAGGTGTCTTGCTTCTGATGGTGAGGGGTCTGTGATCTCTTTTTATTTCATCACTTGGGACAATTAGGGATCACTGGTTTCTATCCAGTAATCATTATTCTTTTGTCTTAAAACCCCTTGCCCCAAAAAAGGAAAAAGGAAAATGATAATTAAGGTTTTGTTTTTTCTCCTTATTCCCTTCCTTCATTGTTAAATGCTAGCTTTTCTTGGGATATTTCTGGCATCAAATTATTTTATTCTAGAATGCAAACTTAGTTAATGATCAATAATTACTTAGGTTATTGTGATTAGATCATTAATCAATGTGTTGGCCCTATCTATCAACATTGTCTTTCCTGTGTGAATGCTAATTGCTTGAGAAGATTTTAACCATTTCCTTAGTTTGGCTCCTTAATTAGAAACGCCTGAGTGCACTGGCCGTTTAACAAAGTAAACTAAGACCTGGTCTTTGTTCAGGCTGGTCTGACCTTTCTTAACAAGGTGAATGGTAAGTAGATACTTGCTGCACAAGTGAACTTGTTTGCTGCTTAGTCTCTGTTTTCTTATAGCAATTACTGCCACTTGTTTCTTATTAATTGTTTTTTTATAAATACCCTGTTGTGCATGGTTTACTGGCTGCATATAAAACATTATGAGAATGCAGGTGGATTATTCATGTACACCTGAAGAAGTTCAGCAGCATTTCCAGTCTTGTGGGACTGTAAATAGGGTTACTATTCGTACAGACAAGTATGGCCAGCCAAAGGGTTATGCTTATGTGGAGTTCCTTGAAGCTGAGGCTGTTCAAGAGGCTCTTGTTTTGAATGAATCTGAACTTCATGGCAGGCAGTTGAAGGTAAAATTTAGTTTTCTTTTTTCTATTTTTTCTTTTTCTCTTATTCTTTTGAGAAGAAGGAAAAATAGCTGCTGTTTTTACACCATGAAAAATAGTTTTTCACCTTAAAATTTTCATTTGTTAAACAATTTAAACATGATGTGCTTTCTTGATATCTTTGTAGGTTACTGCTAAGCGGACCAACATACCTGGTATGAAACAATATCGTCCACGTCGGTCCAACCCTTTTATGCGACCCCGGGGCCCATTTATGGCTCCATATTTCTTTGCTCCTTATGGATATGGGTATGTTTGCAACTGTGGTTCTTTCATCTTAATTTGGATTACCTTTTCATATGTTAATATGCTATTGTGTTTTTATTTTCAGTTCTTGCAACTTAAATAAAGGATGTTAAAACTTTGTCCTATATATTGCAGGAAGGTTCCAAGGTTGAGAATGGCGACGCGTTACAGCCCCTATTATTAAAATACATGGACCATACTAGTAGTTCCAAATGCTTTTCCTATCCGGTTCTCTGGAGTTATATTTTGGAAACCTTATGAAGGATTTTTTTA